GCATCTCATGGGGTTAATACTCCATCTGACTGAGCTGGGCATCTGCATCTCATGGGGTTAATACTCCATCTGACTGAGCTGGGTGTCTGCATCTCTGGGTTTATGGATTCTAAGCCCAACTCACTTACGACCTGGCATGTGGGTTAGGGATCCCTGAGCCTGGCTCACTCACGGCCTGGCACGTGGGTTAAGGATCCTTGAGCATGGCTCACTCACGGCCTGACCCTCCATGTGCTGCTTTTCCCTCTGCCTCATCCATGTTTGGTTATTTCATATATAACACTGATTCTCTTTGGAATCGGAGGAAATTGTTAAATGTCAATTTGCTGCCCCTTTTCTCTGTAAGTCTATTTTCTATGAAGTAATGTAGTCCCGTTTATTATGATGCAATTTCACTATATAACATTATTTTCAGTGCCTGCATAGTAAACAGATGATAGGGGTGTAGGTTGAATTTACTTAACCAGTTATTGATACTGAGATGCAGAGTTTCATCAACACAGAAATCTCCGGCCTCACAGCCCTGCATTTCCACTGTTGACCTGGAATAAATTCTTACAGGTGAAATTCAGTCAACATAGATAACATATGTGGCCGTTGGTAAATGTGGCTAAATCAGTTTTCAGAAAGCGTATGCCAATACTGATTGTACACATTTCCTGGAATCCTTGTCTGCACTAAGTAGCAACATAAAAAAGAAACTTTTCTGATTAATAGGTGAAAGTTTTATCTCACTGTTTTAACTTGCACTTCTGTGGTTACCTGTGAGGTTTAACATTTTTCAAATGATTGTTTGCATTTTGCATTTTTTAGCGAATAATCTGCTCATATTCTTCTCTCTCTCTCTCTCTCTCTCTCTCTCTCTCTTTTTTTGCAATATGGGCTTTTAAAAATCTACTTCTAATTTTATGTGTTAAAACTGGTAACACATATAGGGCAGAAATATGTGTTACTAGTCTGTAGCGTGGCTTCCACTTGTGTTGAAAAGGTTTTAGAAGGTTGAAAAGTTTTTGTGCTTTATGTATCATCAGGAACTGTGAAGAGCTGAGGCCCCACCTCCTCACAAGCTGACAAGTGAGCCATGAAGAACCCACAACAGGGAAGTTAGTTTAAACCAGTTACAACAGCACACACAGCACCATCCTTATGATTTTACCTATTACTTAGTTCCCACTGATCAGTGGCTGGTGTTTAAATGCTTTCCTAGTTCATTTCATTTGTTACACAGATGCCTGTGAAATGCCCCGACAGCATCATTGCCTCCTTCTCTAGCTTCCAAACCCAACATCCTTTTGCCCAAGCATCCAGGTACAAAAGGGGGACCTTAGAAATTGTAAATTTGAAGCCAGAAGCCATGGTTTTTCTAGGAATAGATTTACTTATTAAGAACTGAGACACCTTTATAAATAAAGTTATAAATAAAGTTACTCATGTTGGCTTTTTTGCTCTTTAAATTCTTCTCTGTAAGTTACTGATGTGACAAATCAAATAATAAATTTCAGACAGCTTATATATTGACAAGACAAAGTCCATCCAAGAATCTCTCAAAGTATACCTGGCACATATTAGAAGCATATAAGTTCTGAAAAGTACTGAGTGGTCATTTGTGGGGCCTTGTTTCCCCTGCCCCTGTCCTTTGTAACTGATGACCTCAGGTTGGGCTGGGATGGGTTTGTGTCTTCTGCCAACCCTAGGCTGCACACAGGGCTCGGGGGTGAGTCAGAGGCTTCCCCCCAGCCCCTGCAATCGCAGTCCTGAGCAAATGAGAGAGCAACAGCGCGGGGCCTGGGAGTGGAGGCGCAGCCTGGGTGGCTGCAGGTTCCCTGCTGCTTCAAGGGCACACAGTGCTTTCTCATTGATTACCCTCCCCAGTTGTCACCACTGTCCTGGGAGGTTTACAATCCCCATCCTACGGGGAGTCACCTTTGTATCGACAGCACATTGAAATATGTGTGCAGTTAGTGGATTTTCCAGGGTAAGAGCTGCAAGCTGTTGTGGAATTTTGTACATTCATACATGGTCATTGTAAAAATGTGTTCGTGAGAACCCTGGCACTGACATGTCTGACAGTAGATTCTGAGTGAAGACACTTCTTGTGATGACCACAGAACATGATCACTTTTACAAGAGACTCGGCTCTGCTGGGCATGGTCATGATAGACTTCAATTTCAGTTTCCCTTCAGAAAAGGCATGTAGGAATACTCGACATAGTTATTTATAAGATCACTGTAAGGATCAAAAGATATGCATTAGATTCCCTAAGCTGCATGTCAGTTAACAGCTTTGATGGGGCTGGCAATGCGGTGCTGCTGATCTGGTCCCCAGAATGGCATGGAGCATAAGGAATGCGTCCTGTGCCGCTCACTCCAG